ATCTGGGCGAAGCTCAGCTGGCGAGCTCTGCCCAGATCTGGGCGAGCTCGAGCTCGCCGGCCATGGCGAGCTCCGCCCAGATCTGGGTGAGCTCAAGCTCATGCCGGCCCTCGCCATGGTTGTGCGGGCCGGCGAGGGCGGAGCTCGCCCAGATCTGGGCAGAGCTCGCCGGCCGAGCTCGCCCAGATGGCCAGCGAGCTCGAGCTCGAGCTCTCGTCGGTCTCAGCAAGCTCGAGCTCGCCGGCCATGGCACCCTCCCCCTCCCCTTCCCGCTCCAAGTTCTCCCCACGGAAGCCCCCGCCGGAGTCCCCGGGCTCCGCCGCCAGCCCCGCCCGGCCCGATACGGCCCTCGACGACCCGGATCTCGTGCCCTTCCTCCTCAAGCTCGCGCGCGACACCATCGCCTCCGGCGACGGCCCCGCCAAGGCCCTCGACTACGCGATCCGGGCGAGGCCGGCCTCCTCGAGCTCGCCCAGATATGGGCGGAGCTCGCCGGCAGCTCGCCATGGCCGGCGAGCTCGAGCTCGCCCAGATCTGGGCAGAGCTTGCCGACCGAACTTGCCCAGATGGCCGGCGAGCTCGAGCTCTTGCCGGCCTCAGCTCTGGCCCGGTCGCCGGTCGTTGGACCGGCGACCGGGGAAGAAGAAAAGAAAAGAAAAAAAATGGACAAAATTGTCCCTATTTCGGTGCCGGAAATGTCGGCCGGTCGCCGGCCGGTGAACATTGGCCGGCCGGCGAGCTCATGTCCTTATTTAATACTAATTTGGCACTTTTGATCCTTAATTGATACCTTATCCACTTGAGGTCCTCTTTTGAAAAAAGGCACCCACTTTGGATCCTTTTTTGATAATTTCCCTCAAAAAAATAAAGCTATATTTGGTTTCTCTCTCCTCTGACGCCCTAGGATAGAAGATCCTCTCTCCTCTGTGCCTATAGGAGGGGGGTGAGCAAGGAAATGAAGCAATAAATGCATGCATTAATTGTTGTGTCTCTCCCCCCCTCTCTCTCTCTTTTCTCTTTCACGTTAGTTTGAATTCCATTACTTTTTCACTTTTCTCCTTCCCTTCCCATAACGCTTCTTCTCATCTCATCCTTCTTCTTAGCTTTTCTTCTTCACTTTCGTCGTCAGTGGCTCCAGAAACCACCGGTGAAAAGCGGAAGGCCAGTCGCAGCGGCTGGGTCCCGAGACCCCCTCCGCCTCCTCTTCCACCCTCCCGCCTCTCGCCTCCGTTCTCCGCCCTCCGGCCTTTGCCTCCCCCCTCCTACCTCCGCCTCTGCCTCGTTGCCTCAGCCATGAGAAGGACCATTTTAAGCAATCATCATGTCCATAGCTTTCCCAAAAGAAAGGGAGTTGATCCTCTGCGGTGGCCATGGATATTTCTTCACTCCCTCACATTTTCACCATAACTTTGATCCCTGAATACGTTAGATAATAAATTATGTGTGCAGATTAAGCACATGACATAGAGTTTGATTCCTTATTTCCTTAAGTGCATGGAAGAGGTTTGGTTGAAGAGATTAAACCCTAAACCCTAATTGATATCGTGAGAAAGCTAATATTTGGAACACCAAAATATTACAAGACCAATACAAGTTCCACCTGAGCACCACTAGATCAGGGATTCTAAATTCAAGTTTAGGTGCGTGAATGTATGTTGGGTTCAATCAATACTTTCGGTAGAAAAACAAGTAGGGAATAAATGACTTGTCACTCGATCATTGGCCAAAGTAATAGACAAGGGAAGAAAAAGCTCATGTAGTTGTCGTGCCTCATATGGAGCGTGCTCCACTTGCTAGGGGTGTGCAAAGGAACTGAAACCACTCAGAACCGGTAGTTTCCAAGGGAACTGATCCGGTTCCTGATTCTTTGTGTGGAACCGCTCACCCGGACCGGACTGGTAATATATATCTATAATTTATAAGTTCAATCAAAAAAGAGAAAAATCTAAGAAAAATGAAAACCCTAAATTTCGTAATTAAAACTCAGTGCCCATCTAACCAAGTTGAGTGCTCGTTTGGTCTCACTTTCACCTTGCTTGAGTTGTCTCTCTTCTCTCACTCATGGTCTCGACTCTCAAGCTCAACACCCATCAACTCATGGCCATGTCTCCGGCCGTTCATCGCTTACCTCTCTCACTTTCGGTTAACTCCATTTGCGTGAAGCTTGGTGGGACCGGTTCTGTGGATCCACCCAGAAACTGAACCAAATTCCCGGGTAAATCCATGGAACTAACTGGCGGTTCTCGGTTCTAATTTTTCGGAACCAATTCTTAGCGGGCGGTTTCTGATTTCAAGGTGGGAACCGTCCACCCGGACCATGTTCACCCCTATTACCACACTCGACCATGAGGCTCCTAAGACGGAGCCATGTACAAGCAAATGGAAAAATCATTACTATTTTCTCCTTTTCTGATTAACATGAATGGCAGGTAAACACAATTCGGACTCATTAAAATTTATATTGAAGTAAACTTTGTTACTTTATAGTCATAGCAACCCATTCTTTAAATTTTAGCTAATCCATATGCGATCTCAGCTCACTATTCACGAGTTAAAAAGTAGATATTGTTTTAATCTATTTTAACGGGCTAATTCCCAAAAAAACTCCAAACTTTACACTTTGTCCCAATTATATCCTGAACTTTTTTTTGTCTCAAGAAAAACCTCAAACTTTTATCCGAGTCCCAAATCTGCCCTACCGTTATAACTCTGTCCAATTAACGTCAGAAAAAAAAAAACCAGAACCAGCAGCTGCGGCGTGGCCAAGTTTTCGCCGGTGGCCACCGCCACAGCCGTCGGGAAGGAGCGGCGGCCCTCGCCTGGGCCTTCCCGAAGGCCGGCGACCCTCGCCGCCCGGGCGAGTCGCCGGCGAGGGCTCAGCATCCTCGATCCGGGAGCGAGGGTCGCGCCCTCCCCGCAGACGGGGCCGCAGCCCTCGCCGGCGACTCCGCCCGGGTCGGCGAGGTCGCCGCCTTCTCGGAAGGCCCAGCGAGGCCGCCGACCCTGTGCGAGGCCTCGCCGCGACCCCAGGCGAGGCCTCGCTCGGGGTCGGCGCCCTCGTCGGCCTCGGGCGAGTCGCCGGCGAGGGCTCGTGCCTCCCCGATCCGGGGGAGGCGCAACCCTCACTCCAGACGGGATGCGTGCCTCGCGCCGACTCACCCGGGCCGGCGAGGTCGCCGCCTTCGAGAAGGCCTGTGCGAGGGCCGCCGCTCCTTCCGGCGGCCGTGGCGGCGGCCATCGGCGAAGACTTGGCCACGCCTGCAGCTTGCCGGTTCTCGGTTTTTTTTTTTTTTTTTTTTTTTTTTTTTCGACGTTAATTGGACAGAGTTATAACGGTAGGGCAGATTTGGGACTCGGATAAAAGTTTGAGGTTTTTCTTGAGACAAAAAAAGTTCAGGGTATAATTAGGATAAAGTGTAAAGTTTGGGATTTTTTTGGGAATTAGGCCCTATTTTAACGCCTCTAGTGGTCAGTAATTTTTTTTTTGTCGATAGTGGTAAGAAATTTTCATTTCAATGGGTTAGTCGTGTAAATTACCTCATTAAAGATGCGCAGTAAGGTTGCGTGTTTTCCGAGCACATCCGGCTCATCTTTTTAAGGGAAGAGAAAAAGTAAGTTCCACTTCGAACACCTTGCAAAAAGTTGCCAAGTAAAGAAGATGGTTACGATTAGGGTTTGCCTCAAGGATCACCTTTCCTAGTTAGAAAGTAAAAGCGAAGAGTTCGATTTTTCACATTCTCAAGAGCTAGGGGTGGGGATGTGCAATTTAAAATGTGGATTTCGATTTTCACGTTCTGCAAGAGGTATGACAAAATTCTGAGAGTAAGTTGAGAGTTAGTGTTGTCCGCAAAAGCATGGAGGGCGACGGAATCAGGACATAGAACAAAGCGGAAGAAGAGAATCAACACGAGAAGTGTATGTGGTTCGGTCTGAGTTTCGGAACCTACGTTTACAGGGAGAGCCAATAAATAATCCACTATCAAATCGGAGGAGTATTACAGAGTTCAAAAATTACTCATGCTCAAGTGTTTCCTAACCTTATAATTACACCGAAAGCCATGGTGTTTAACCTCACGTAAACACTAAAAATTGATGTAAATATATGCACAAACACAGGGATCTTCAAGAGAGCACCTTCGAGCTCTCACTTCCCACGCGAACTACAGCTCTCAACTCCTCCTGAGGAGAGCTTCTCTCTGTCTCCACCTTTGGCCACATGTTGTGACCTCTCTCCACCTTTGGCCTCACATTCTGGCTTCTCTCCACCTTTCTCGCTAGCTTCCTCTCTCTTTATTTAAAGAGAAGCTAACATGGAGAGAGAGGACAAAAGAAGACAAGAAGAAGAGCTACTACGTGCTCCTCATTTCTCCTCCTTCTCGGTCAAAGTCAACAATGATGGCTAACCTCTTGAACAAAGCGAAAGAAGCCGCTCATTTTCTTATTTCTTCCTGCACGTTCACATGGCCTCTGTCTCAAAGAAGACAACACGTTCACATCGCCTTTGTCAAAGAAGACAAAAGGCAGGAAGGGAACACATTTAATGCAAAGTGGCCCGCCGTCCACTTTCCTCCCTTCATCCACGAAGATGGCCATCACATGCATTCTTTAATGCATCAAGAGAAAAAAATAAATCCTTCGGCTTCACCACGCTTATGCTATGCCGAACATTTAGCATGCTATGCCGAACATTTAGTATGCTTCTTAATATAAGAGCTCAAATTCGAGATATATTTTAATAATTAGAATAGGACAGATGAAAAAAAAAAAAAATGATTGCGAGGCTCCCAAGGAGTAGCATCATGTGAAAACTAATTTTCCATTGGGAACACCTTGACTCTGACATAAAGAAGGGATTCTTTCGGTTAATGGGGTCGGGGAAAGCAAAAAGCGGCCCATCTTCACGTTGATTTGAGTGGCCACGCGGTCCAATTACAAAGAGAAAATAAAAAAAAATATCCTTAAAGTCTACATTGAGGCAGTCTTGCCAATTTCCAGGAAGGGATTTTTTTTTGGGGTCTTGGTCAAAAAGGTTAGGGTTTAAAAAGAAGTACGATTGCCTTCTCAAAGAAGCGTAATTCACCATAAGATTGCGCGTTTCCTAAGCACATCTGGTTCATCCTCTGGTGCAAGAGAAGAAGTACAGCTTTATTTAAGTCCCAAGCGATGGTGCTCTAAGAGGAGAAACGCACCGGGTAAGAACACCACGCCAATTACCAGAAGTCACGAAGATGCTCATTTTTGTTCTGAGGTCTTTGGTTTGATAACTCCAGGTTGAGGCGTGAAGGTGTAATCCTTGGATTGTAGTGCCTTTCGAGAGACTCGAACATAGCCTGATCTGCTTCAAGGTAACCCCTTCTAAAACACAAAACCTATCGTAGTAATTTCGTCTCTGCGTGGCTCCTCCAGGTAAGCCCAATCTTCATTCTCCGCTCTATTACAATTTATAGGATAGAAAAAAACATTTGATTATCACTCATTGCATAACACCTAACATCCTTTCAAGCATACGGAATATTACATATGAAATTTCCTCCACTTTTTTTCAAAATCATTGTCACATATATAAGTCCAAGTGATTGTGCCTCAAGAGGAGAAACGCATCGTGTAAGAAGACCACGCCAAACACCAGAAATCACCGACAAACTCATTTTTGTTCTGAGATATATTTGATTTGATAACTCCAGGTTGAGGTGTGAAGGTGATCATCCTGATTGGACTGCCTTTGGGGACTCGGACACAACCTGATCTGCTCAAAGCTAACTTGTTCTTGAACTCAAAACCCATTGCAGTGATTTTATCTCTGCATCGCTTCTTCAGGTTAGCCCTACCTTCATTCTCCAGTCTGCTCAAGGAGGTGATATCCATAGTATCTTGACTCGATGCTTGCATTCCATTATGCTCACACATTACTTTATAGAATTGCAAGTGACTGCATTATCTAACTAGATAGAGCCCAACTTGTAAAGACTGCATCTACCTCAGCCTCACCTGTTAACTGATAGTGACCTTCTCTCACGTGCAAATTTGAATGAAGTCAGTATGAGGAATGCCTGTAGAAATGGGGGAACAAGATTAAAAAAAACAAAAAAAAAGGCTTATCTTCTCCATAAACAAGAGATTATCATAAGCATCATTGAGCTCTAGGGAAACTCCTCCCGGTCATAGCAAATCATTGATAACCTAAAGTTATTTCGATCGATAAGTAGCAGCCATACCCGTCGTGTCCATTGTGGAAAAGGAATGTGCATGATCACGGACACATCCCCTAATTCTTTTGTGAGAAATCAATTTCTTAGCACACGTTCAAAATCAGGGACAAAATTAAGGATATGTATCCACGTAAGACCAGTAAAGTTAATCTCTTTATATTGATGGATTTGAGGCAAAATTAAATGGGAGAATCCGTTTTAACAAAAGACAAATTAAAATTTGGATCTCCAAAATTTATTAAGTCAATCAAACCCCGTGTCAAAGAACAACAAATTGCACCAAGAGAAATTGAGATCGCTCCATGGTTCCATACCTCTTGCACAAAGTGCACGGAGTGGGGATTCGATGGAGTGCAAATTTAAGTGAAGCATTAGATGGAGAAAAATAAAAGATTGCAAGAAAATATATAAATCGCATAGGAAATGTTAATTGCAAGAAAAGAAAATTGATATAATGAAAAGAGAGAAACTTGAATTTTTGGATTGAAGTACTTACCTACCATCAAATTAATGAATTGCCAACGTTAGGTGTTGTTTTTCAACGAACTATAGGGATTCGGGAAGCTGTCTTCTCGTCCTCTCTCTCTAATAAAATGGGAACCAAGCCAAGGTATACGAGGCAAGTTCTATATAAACCTCTCAAAATCCCTTCTGCCTTCTAAAAGTAAGTCCAGACACTCCGACCACACACGAAAGCGAGCAAAGCTGCTGTTCTATTGAAAAATCCTTAGCTGTCTGTCATTGGACAAGGTCGTGGTTGATCATTCTTCACGTTGTCAATTTCGCAATTGAAGTTCGCCTCCTATTTTAAGTAACGTGCATTTTTCACTTCTACTTTAACCACTGACTACTCTTACTTGTCTTTTCACATATGAGTCTTCTTTCTTTTTTCCTTTCGAACTTGGCGTGCTGCAATTGAAATATGGAAATGTGGGGGAGAAGAGCCTAGGTGATTTCTAACCCTTTGTCATCACTGAATGGCATCTGCAACTGGTCCTAGTCAATCAATTACTAATTTACGAAAAAAATATGTTAATTTTTCCTTGCTAATAGATTTCATGTTCATACTTGTTGAGACTCGTTATCAAATTTTTTATGCAGCAGAAAAGCATCACGCGTTTCACCTTTCCCCCCTCAGATTGCCATGGATGCAGGGCAGAGTCAGAGAAAGAGGACGGAGAAAGAGAGCACTAAGGGAGCATCTGCTCCTTCGTTCATCTTTTCGATACCCTCGGAAGTTGGTAGTGATCAATACGATGTGTTCTTGAGCTTTAGAGGCTCAGATACCCGTAAGGGATTCACCGATCACCTCTACCACAGTTTGGTCAATGCAGGGATTGTACGGATATCCGTGTTTAGGGATGAGAGCAGCATACCTGTTGGCGAGGAATTTGGTTCACAAATTATTGATGCCATCACACGGTCTAAAATTTCGATCCCCATCATCTCCGAAAATTATGCATCAAGCAAATGGTGCCTCTGCGAGCTCATTCATATCATGGACTGCAAGAAAAGGATGTCACACATAGTCTTGCCCATTTTTTACAAAGTGGCCCCATCGGATGTGCGGCATCTACAAGGAAATTTTGGGAAGGCTTTCCATTCACGTCAAGAGCGTTTTGATAAGAAGGATATCGAGGAAGGGCAACGAGCACTTAAAGAAGTGAGCGACTTAAATGGATGGGAATCCGAGAAAATTGCTAATGGGTACTTTGCTTATACCTTAGCTGTTTTCTTTTTCATTTGATATGTAAGTTTTCTTCTTCACGCAAAACCGATGAAATATGGATAAACTACTCTCATTGCAAGCTTAGAACAGATTCCGAAAATGTACCAACGAACAACCGTAATACCCCAAAGACAACAAACACTAGTACTCCCCAAAATGTCCCTGAAAACTAAACCAACAACCACTAAAACCAAAGCATCCCATAGCGCCCAAGAATCTTACAATTGTCTCTGGTACAGAGCAAAAGCAAAGAGACGACAACCTTCCAGCCAATAGTATCAATCATTAAAAAAAATGCCTAGCCTTCGATAGCTTGATCATCACCGGATAAAATCGACCTCCTATTGCCAATGTGGGGATGGATCAATTGATAAGGATCAAACACTTGGCATTGACCATGTCTAGGTTGATAATCTATCAATGTTTTGTTGTTTGACAGGCATGAGGGAGAATTGATAAATCTCGTGGTCGAAACTGTTCTAAGCAAGTTACGGAAAGATTTTCAGCTAGATGTTCCTAAGCAACTAGTTGGACTTGATGGTCATTTGAAGGAAATTATGAATTGGATAAACAATCCTTCCGTCAATGCTCGAATGATTGGAATTTATGGCATGGGCGGGATAGGCAAGACGACTCTTGCCAAGTGCATCTACAATCAACTCTCGAATAAATTTGTGCATAGCTTTCTTCCAGATGTCCGAGAAACTACCAGGCGCCACGGTATTAAGTGTCTACAGAGTCAACTAATATTGGATATACTAAAGAGAAACAGTCAAGTGTCTAGAGTTGATGATGGAATTAACATAATCAAATCTGAATTCAAAAGAAAAAAGGTTCTCATTCTTCTGGATGATATAGATCACAAGGATCAACTAGATGCTTTGGCTAGAGAACGTAATTGGTTTACAACCGGAAGTTTGATCATTGTCACAACGAGATATCGAGCCGTTCTTGATCAATCAGAATTCGAGGTAGACTACATGTATGAACTGAATGAAATGGATGGGGTGCACTCTTTGCTTTTATTTAACAAACATGCATTTCGTATGGATCATTCTTCGAAGGACTTCGAGCGTATTTCTCGAGATATCATATCAACCATGGGTGGGCTTCCCCTGGCTCTTAAGATTATAGGTTCATACTTGTATAGAAAAACAAATCTAAAAGTGTGGCAAGATATGCTTAAGCAATTAAAAAACCAACCACATAGGGATGTCCAGGGGATACTGAAGATAAGTTTTGATGCATTAGAACGAGGACATCAGGAGATCTTTCTCGATATTGCTTGTTTCTTCATTGGCGAAGAGTGCAAATTTGCTATGTACATGTGGGAAGAGTGTGGATTTTATGCAAGTCAAGGAATTGAAGAGTTGAAACTGAGATGCTTAATAAAAATTGGAGATGATGGTAAGTTGAGGATGCATGATCAATTGAGAGATCTTGGAAGGAACATTGTTTGCCAAGAAGGACCGCTTGAGAGACGTAGTAGATTATGGGACAACAATGAAGCCTTCGCAATACTAATGGGAGGAAAGGTAACATATGGCACTCTTTTTCTTTCCTACTCCCTCATATTTTCATATATTTTAATCAGATCTATTTTAATCTTTTATCTGGTATGAAGAAATGCTCCTACTTTTCAGTAAAAAGATCCATTCATGATTCATGTCCATCGAGTAAAAAGGTCCATTCATGATTCATGTCCATCATAGAGTAATTGTGACAACTAAATGTATCATAAATACTCCAAGGATGAAAAAGTTATATTATCTCATGATGATTATAGAATATCTCCAAATATTCAAATTCAATGACATAAATTATTTATGTCAAGAATTTAATTACAATATATTTGAAATCACTTGACTAAGAGTCTACACTAAAAATCTCCTATACTAAAAGTATGTAATTTTCATATTTAGTTGAAAATATTGACAATATGAAAGCCTGCAATAACAAATAAAGAAATGAAGATTTCTTGGTCCATAATTATAAATAGGTAGTAGGTGCCAACAATAATGACTAATAGTCAAACGAAACATCAATAATGACTAGCTTTCTTCTACAGTTGAATTTATTGCGGTTCTCCTATGATTTAGGAAACCAATGTTTGATATATTATTTCTCCATTTTGATTTTGAAGGTACCCGTCCCTCCCTCTGCTAGTTATATCTATCGGTTTCGTCTTCTTTCCTCTTAATAGATACTAAAGCAAATTCCCCTTAAGAAGCAAATTTAAGAAAATCTTACCACTGCTTTTAAGGTCGTTTCAGGTAGACCTTGTTCATCTCATGGATTAGGTTAGGTGTATGATAAAGAACGTTTCTTATTTCTCTTTCCTTCTTTTCTTTCATTGCCATTGCCTTTTCCTTGTTACATTTCTTAATAAACATTTTTTTTCCTCTGAAACTCTACACGGCCGCTTTCGCTCAAACTATACCCTCAAATCCCCCCACCCATCTCTTTCCCATGCCCCCTCTCTTCTTCCATCCTCCTCACTCACCTCACGTCTTATAGTCTCTCTCTCCACCCCTCGCCACCTCACCGGCACCCAAAGCTGGTGGTGATGCACCTCGTAACAGAACCACCCCCCACCTTCTCCTCTCTCACGGTGCTTGTGGCTCCCAGCCACGAGAGCTCTAGCTCGAGCTTGGGCGAGCTCAACTCGACTAGGTGAGACTCGTGCAAGCCATGAGCTGGGTTTCTCGAGGCTTGCACGAGACCGGCAAGCTTTGTCAACGAGCTCGCTGGTCTCCCAACCGTACCACAATTTGGACCCAATCTGAGGTGGCGACAGTCGGGGACGACCGGTGATGGGTAGGAGAGAGATAGTGGATGAGAGGGAAGTTTGTGTTAGGGTTTATGGGTTGTTTTAGGGATAAGGTTAATTCAGGAAACAAAATTGGCTACTTCTATAGTTAAGGGGGATGTTAGGGTGCAAGTTGATTTAGAATGGCAAACCTCAAGATGCAAGTTGTAGGTTTCAAAAGTAGGGATCGTATTTGTTATGAATGTGCAACTTCAGATAGCTTTTTGTGATTTTCTTTACACAAAAACACAGCAGATATTAAAACTTAGTGTCTCTCAATGTTTTCACACCCTCAATTACTTACACACATTAGTGTTGTGTAGTAGCCCTCACTTGGTTCTCATACAATTTTTTTAATGACGAGAAAGCCTACCTACTTAGGTATTGTTCAATGAAAATGAGGTCGATCAATTGTCGCGAACTTAAGGCGATTGGAGAGAGCGATTGAGATCTCTCCGTGATTCCTCACTCAAGCCCAATTTGAGTTCACAAATGAGGCTTGGATGCAGTGCGAGTTTTATTAATTTAAGTGCGAAAAAATGTAAAATGGCTTAGAATTGAAATACAAGAAATTGAAAAGACATGAAATGAATGATATGAAACAAAAGTGCGACGAAAGGACAAAGTTACCAGGAAAATGAAAGATAGATTTCTCAGAGAAGTGATGGGTTTGTGCATGTCCGATTTTTCCTTTGAACGTACGCCCCTTCTATCGTAACGCCTATTGTCGACCGTTCGATTTCTTGGAAATCTTACCATGGATAAGGCTTAGCTCGACTTTCTGGAATCTCCTCTTATTTTGTTGGTGAGAAGCTCCACTTTGTCACCTTTCCAGACCATCTGAGCATAACTTCCACATGCATCATTACTTGTCACATGGAACACACGCATCGGTTGTCTCATGCATTACTTGCCTCATGAATCTCCTGACACTTGTATACATTATTCTTTGAGGAAGAGATTTCGCTTTTGATTTCTAAAAAATCACTTCAAAATCAAATTATCATAATAACTCGAATCAATTTTAAACAAATCCACGAGTTATTTTTGCCATGTAGTATTTAAAAGTGAAAAACATCTGTACCCACCACTATCCACTGTCCAAATGCAGTTAATCAATTGTCAAACTAAAAAACCACGTGTCTTTCACCATGGACAAAAGTCAAAGTGCATGCGCTACAAAATTCGAAAATAGCAAAAGGTAAAACATTGAGGTGCGTTTGTCTTAGATTTTCTCAAGCAAGAAGTATTATTCTTTTTATTTTCCAAGTCAAAAGCTAAAAAAAATGTTTAAATTTCAAAAGATTATAAAAAAAAATTAAATATGCTTTTATATAGGACGAGGATAGAATGATGACAAATTGTGCGAGTCCAAGAATTAAAAAACAAAAACTTAAAAAATTAAAAACCAATCGGAATACTCAATTGATTGATTTGATATACAGGGAACTGAAAGCGTCCAAGCAATTCGTCTCGACGGATGCTATGACTACTCTCACAAGCTCAAGACAGACACAAGTGAACACTTTAAAAAGTTACGAAGTTTAAGATTCCTTTGTTTGGGGAAGGTGACTTTAAGTGGAGATTTTAACGAGCTGTTTTCTGAATTAAGATGGCTTCAATTGTCTACCATAGAACTATTTTCAGCAACCAATTTGCATCTACCGAATTTAGTGGTCTTGCGGTTGACGAGCAACTTGTTGATAGCAGAGGATTGGAGAGGATGGAGCTCAATTATGGTAAGATGGAAAAAAATCCTCTGTGAATGTTTTGTTTTGTTTTGTCAATCGACTCATTTTTTACAGCTTATTCTCCTTTGTATAGATGGCAGAGCGGCTGAAAGTTCTCAATCTTCATGGCTGCCTTAATTTAAGATGTACTCCTGATCTCTCGGCTTTCATAAAGTTGGAGATTCTCATCTTGACATACTGTTCCAAATTGAAGCAAGTCCACCCTTCTATTGGCAAAGTCAAGAGTCTTGTTTCCCTGAACTTGGGTAACTGTTACAATCTCGAGGAGCTGCCCGAGGAAGTGGGCGAGTTAGAAGAACTAAAAGAACTTAATGTGGGTTGTACTTGTATTACAAAGATTCCTATGTCAATCGGTTCTCTAAGGAAGCTAGAGAAACTAATCGCCTTCAATTGTTCCTCACCGAGAGAAATCTCTAACTCAATTGGCAGTCTTTCTTCTCTCCAACACCTTGACCTAAATTATTGTGACACATTGAGAGAAATCCCTAGCTCAATTAGGAATCTTTCTTCTCTCCAACACCTTGACCTATCTTGTTGTAAGTCATTAAGAGAAATCTCCAGCTCAATTGGGAATCTTTCTTCTCTCCAACACCTTGACCTATCTTGGTGTAAGTCATTGAGAGAAATCTCTAACTCAATTGGCAGTCTTTCTTCTCTCCAACACCTTAACCTAAATCATTGTGAGTCATTGAGAGAAATACCTAGCTCAATTGGGAATCTTTCTTCTCTCCAACACCTTGACCTACCTTATTGTAAGTCATTGAGAGAAATTCCCAGCTCAATTGGGAATCTTTCTTCTCTCCAATACCTTGACCTAAGCCATTGCGAGTCATTGAGAGAAATCCCAAGCTCAATTGGGGATTTGCAGAATTTGCAACATCTGGACATTAGTTATTCTGCGATCGAAAAGTTACCTAGTGAAATCGGTGACTTGTTTTCGCTCAAGATTTTCAAAATCAGTGGCACATCGATATCTAACCTGCCAGAAAGCATTCAAAATATTTTTTCTCTCCAACAACACCTTGAACTAAATGACTGCAAAGAGCTCTGGTTGCTGCCAGAGCTTCCTTTCGTAACACATCTTTTTGTCAAATATCCCAATCCCAAGTTGCTAGAGCTTTCTCACCCAATTGACCTAAAAGAATTTGATTTTTCTGAATGGGGTCAACTTAAATACATCCCGGACCGTCCCTCAAGATCCTCAAGATCCCCGGACCTTCCCTCAAGATCCCCGGACCTTCCGTCAGGATCCTTCAAACTATCTATTGACTCATGTCCTAAGCTGATATTGCCTAATCTTGATGGATTCAAGTACTTGGAAGAGGTGTCAATAAGATATTGCAATTCCATTGAAAGAGTGGACCTTTCACAATTGAATCGTCTAAAACAATTACAGGCTAGGGATTGCGACAATCTAGTTGAAATTCGAGGTCTTGATAAGGCGGAGTTGTTAGAGGCATTGAATATCTCTAATTGTAGGTCCATTGAAAGATTACCTGACCTACCATGCTTCGGGACCCTGAAAGAGTTGAATATCAATGGTTGTCGCAATTTACGTGGTGTCCAGAGTCTCGAGAAATTCTTGTCTTGCCGAAGCATATATATAGAGGGGTGCCAATCCCTAGAAAAACTACCAAACCTATCGAAGTTTGAAAATTTAGAGGATTTCACATTGATAGATTCCATTGGTGTTACAGAAATTCCCGGGGTTGAGGAATCAGGATCTCTAACTTATATAAATATCACAAGATGTGAATCAATTGAGACTTTGCCAGATTTGTCGAGATGTGAGAAGTTACAATCTCTACTGGTACGAGACTGCATGAAACTTACTCAGCTTAGGGGACTTGAAAAGTTGGATTTAATTTGTTGGGATATTTCTGGGTGCATCTCATTGGAAACGGTACCGGAGTTACCTCGAATAAGTCTATCTTCGAATCATGAGGCATGGGAAAATGGAGGAGTGGGTGATAAAATTATGTTGCGATGATAATGGCGTGATAATTCTAATATTCATGTTACATCAACTGAGACGAGTCATGTTTTCTTAATAGAGGTAAGCAAGTCCACTATCATTTTATTTTCTTGAGATTCATGACCTTTTCATCACTATATTTTTTAACAAGGTCTTTCTTGCCAGGGTTCTGCAATTTCCTAATTCCCAGTCTTACATAATTGCAAGAGTGGGGGAGCATGACGCTTCAGCCAAGATCAAAATGTAGATGCAAATGTAGTTGGACGTATATTAGAAGGCGTTGGTCATCTGGTAATATTCTTCATCCTTTAACAACTACCATGAGCAAATAGAGTAATACTTTTCTTGAGGATTAATCTTTTAAGAATTATTTGTTCAACACTAGGTATCTGCTTGATCTGGATTTGCCCAAATATATTTGCTGTTGATTACATTATGGCAATGTTTTTTTGGCTATCCATCTCGGTAAACTCGGGATTTGAATTTTTCATCTATAGGCTGGTGATATTCTGCTACTCAATATTGTAAACTGCACCCAGATTCACTTTTTCAATATGTCCTAAACTAGTATTTTCCTTTAAAATGACCTTGGCCATTTTGAACTCCTTTTGTGACCTCTTTGACCTATCAAATTTGACTAATGGTAGATATCCTGTTTGGATCAAACTCCTCTCGATTTTTCGCGATGATAGGAAAGCCCGTCAAGTTTCTTATTACTCGCTGGAGCATGAATTTCTAGTGAGGAAGAGAAACTGAGCTAAAATAAAAATCAAGGTTCAAGTTTTTCTGGTGGGTGATTAAAAACCTTTTGCATAAACAAGACAATTTTTTTGCCTGTTTTGTAAAACAAGCTGGGCGAGGAGCTTAAGAATTTGCTAATTAGTTCGCATCCCGTATGATCCTATTATTGTCGTGGAATCATTTTATCACATGATTGATCTGGGTCTAGCTAACTTGGCTGAGGAAATTCAAATTCCATACCAGAGACCGATCAAAATGAAGAAGAGGGCCGAGGAAGCATCAGGGACAGCTAAGGGCCATCTTTTTGTGCCGACCTTGGAGAGGCTCACTAGCCAACTGAAGTGTCTTGAAGAAGTTTGTTATGCCTGTGAAGATCGAAGCACTCAATCTAGTCTCAACAGCACACAACTGAATGGTTGTGAATGTATTCAATTTCGATGGAATCTGTTTTTTGTATGCTCATTAGGTTCTACCTCTCTATTAATCAAATACGTACCTGCAGATTTTTATGCATCTTACGCTGATGCAGAGTTTGATGCAGTTGCGTTCTCATGACATCATTCCCGAACTCAACGAGGCTCTGCAGGGGAGGTATGCAATGCCATTCAAACCATAACTATGAAAGAGTGATTTGTGTGCTTATACTTTGTTGAATGTGCTTTCTGTATGCTCGTTCTCTGTTAATCAAATACGTACCTGTTGATTTTTCTGCATGTTACCCTGATGCTGAGTTGTTTGATGCGATATATGTGAGCTGTGGAACTTCACCTGAAAATCCGTATACTAGGATGCATGATGACAATCTCCTCTTTTCTGTTTGTTCATAATACCCGATGAATGTTGTGATACAGGTCTCTGATATGAGAAGCTTAGATCTCTTGGATGCGGCATTGAATTTGTAAAGTTAAAATTAGCCTCTTAGCAAAAAATTCCTGTGTTGCTGATTTTGCTAATTGGATATTGCAAAATAAACAAGTAACAAGTACTTCTTTCTGTTCCGTAGTTTGGGCACTTCACTTTTCAGCATCGGATTCTATTGGGAAAATTATCCCAAAAAGTCCTAAACATATTGCCTTTTTATCAATTCAGTCTTAAATTTTTTAATTATGCCAATTAAATTCTAAACATTTTTCACGTTTTACCAATCGAGTCCATATAGACAATTTTGGCAGGAAAAACGCTAACGTGGACGTTGGCCGTCCTACGTGACACAGCTAGTGCTGACGTGGACAATTTTTAATATAAATTTTTTGTCGAATTTTTTTTTCTTTTCTTCCTTTTGTTTTTCAACTTTGGCCAGTGAGGTCACTAACTAACCATTGTCGACCACAATTGAGGGCCAACGACCCTCGCCTGGTTTGGGCGAGGCGTTGCGGTCCTCATCGGCCACAGGCGAGGGTCTCTGCTCCCTTGCCGGCCAATAGGCGAGGGTGTCGGCCCTCATCTGGATCTAGGCGCCTCGCTTGGATTTGGCCGAGGGCGTCACGGGCCCTCGCCCACCAACAGGTGAGGGTGTAAGCCTCGTCCTTACAACTTTCAGCTATTTTGGACTCTAAATACCAAATACATCGAAAAATATACAGAACTAAGGATCAATGCGGCCGCTCCAATATCTCTCGTTGAGATGATTGGAGAGTGTAACACTGTTTTCTAACCATGTCGTGTAACATTTGCAGTGCCCTCATTTTCTGTCCATCTTTAGCAAGGGCTCAGGTGGAGATTAGTTATCAGTCTCATATGAATTTGCTAGTGTTCGTAACTTTGGATGAAGTTCCTGAAGTTATCGTACATTCTTTTTCCTGAATCTATCAAAAAGTACATATGTATCTAGTAGAATTATTGATCATTTTCAAAATCTCGCGTGACAACAGCTAATTGGAAAAGCCAATTAGTGTGAGACCAAAATACAAGTTTTATATTTGATGATGCGGTTCCAAACTATAAGACACACACACCTCCAGGTCGTCCAAAACTTCTGCATGGCTTGCCTCGGAGGACACAACCAAGAGAAGGCAACAAAATCTCACCAAGGAATGATAAAAGCCGAGAGAGGAAGAGGAAGAAGAAGAAGAAGCACTCTGTGCCATCTTTTTGTGATCAGTCTTTACAACTTTCTGATCAGGTTTTTGATAAAGTTGTTCAAAAGTCTTTGCTCATGAAATTCTACAGTCCAATCTCGCTCTCTGGCCAAACAGCAGTTTTCACTATAGGTCTCAATTATGTTCATAGATGCCATTGGTGATGACCAATGAAGGAGGAAATGAAGCGGAAGATGAAGAATGTGGTATTTGTGCCGTTTTCCTTATTTCCTGGTTAGTAATTCAATCTGCCATTTGCCTCAATTGAGTTGACAACAAATGTGCTGAAAATCTCAGAAAATCGGAAGGGAATGTCTTCAAAGTTCAAACATAACAGAAGGAATGGTGAGGATTGCAGCTACCTCTGCTACCAGGACCTTCTCATGTGGACTCCGGTGCCGCCTCCTCTGTGGTATGATGACTAGTTCATCAAATGCCAAAGTGCTAATTTCCAAGTCCACTCTATTTATTCAATAGTATAAGCTAGCACAAGTTCATTTTTCTTACTCTCATATCAGCAGCATCACAATATCTGGTCTTCCAATTCCCGAGGAAATGAAGGTTTTTTTCTTTTTCTTTGCAGGGGTTTCTACAGATAAATTGTGGACACTCCTTGCAATAACCGTGGATGATCGTGGTGTGCACGATCAAATCTAGCTCCTAGTCTCTGAGTCTTCCAAATTCTTCAGCAATTGAACCGCTTTCCTAGTGTTGCCGGTTCTGCAGAATCCCTCGCTATGGCTCTGCACGTGGTTATATCTACCTCAATTCATCTGGCCAACATTTCATCTGCCAAGCTCATGGCTTCGGCAATTCTACCCTCTCCAACAAGCCCATTGATCAAAGTGTTAAAGCTCCCAGTTGTGGGTTCAAGTCCAAGTTTGACGATTCCACACAAAACTGAGAACCGAAGATTGGACCTTTTCAATTGGCAGAGGTAATTCATCAAAATGCTGTGGGTAAAAACGTTAGGAGTCACTCCTTTCGAACCCATCCGCTCGATCATGTCAATGGTGATGGCGTAATGCTTCATATTGGCCACAACCCCCCAAGAGTTGGGCGAAACAGGGAGGTGAAGGCAGAGGGTTCACTCTAATCGTCCTCTCCAAGTAGAATAGGGCATCCTCAGCTTCCACATATGCGCCATTTCTGCATTGGTTCACCACAAAGGCCACAAATTGAGATAGATCCATTGAATCACTCCCTCCATTGGTGGATTGGGATGAATAAGTGAGAGGCTTAGGGAGATCTCCAGATTCTCGAACAAGACGGTGAAGAGCACAAGTGCAAATGGATCGATTCATTCTCATCAGTTTCGCCAAATTTTCTCCTTCCGAGTTCCGAGAATCCACAAATTGACGCGATGGAGTTTGGAGAAGATGATTGTTAGGCAGTTCAATCACCGAAGAACATAGTTTTCCGTTCAACCATTGAAAGCTACTTTGGTTGTCAAACTGAACATTCCTAGAAATACTTGATCCATTCATTGTCATCAGTTTTGCCAATCTTATTGTCTCTCTCCGAACAGGTGATTGAATCTGCAAGGCAGTTGAAGAGAGGTCAGTATGCATAATCACGCTCTTTATACTGTTGTGAAAACAACCATGAAAATCCACATCTGAAACCAAATAATAATGGATTGAAATCTCACATGAGGACGATGGCAAACACTGGCGAAGTTGAAGCATCGCCGATTGAAATGAACCTTTCTAGTCTCACTACTATCGGCTGAGAAAACGAGAAAATAATGTGAACTTTTCTACTACTGTCATTGTGTGCATCGAACATACTTTTAACATTATACCAATTTAACATTTTGCTTTTTTGGTCTATTCGACGCTTTCTTATTAGTCATCGAGTGAGGCAGGCATCCCAGCTCATATGTTGCAAAACGATGTCACCAGGAATTTTTTTTATATCTATATTTGGGCCAGATGATTTACATATGAAGTACGTACTTTGTGAAGGAACATTATATTTCGTTTTTCTTTTCCTTGATGACATAGGACTGCTCATTTAGTGGATAAACTCTAAACATGTGAACACTAATTTTAACTACAAGATCATTTCGAAAGTCATGGCCAATCGTCTCAAACCATGGCTTCCTAAACTCATTGCCATGGAACAAAGTGCCTTGGTGAGTGGCAGGCAAATTCAAGACAATATTCTAATAGTTCAGGAGGTATTTCATCAGCTGTGCATTCAGAAAAGGGAAAGGAAATTTCAGGCAGCCCTCAAACTGGACATGCAGAAAGCATATGACAGAGTCGAATGAAATTTTTTATGTGAATGTAAGCTCCAAATGGGGTTCTGCGACAATTGGGTGAAACTGATTAAACAATGTATCTCCACAGTTTCGTTCAGTGTGAGAGCCAATGGGGAATCTCTGCAACAATTCCCACCCTCTCGAGGTATAAGGCAAGGGGACCTGTTATCGCCTTACTTGTTCATCATATTAGCCAATGTACTATCCTCTTTATTGAACAAGGCGGTATTGGATGGTAGCGTGAGAGATATTAAATTGAATAGCTGGTGCCCAACTCTATCTCACTTATTATTTGCTGACGATGCTATCTTCTTTCTAGATGGGACGATTAGAGAATGCCAGAATGTGTCAAATATCCTAAACCAGTACTGTTATGCTTCTGGGCAGGCTATCAATTTAAACAATCCGAAATTTTCTTTAGCAAGGGCTGTCCTGACCAACTGAAGAGGAATATGTCGGGCGAGCTGAGAGTCCCGATCATTGACAAGACAGGCAAATATTTAGGAATTCCTTCTGATTGGGGGCAATCAAAGAAGCAAATGTTCGCTTGGGTCGTAGCTAGGGTCCACATGAAACTAGATGGTTGGAAGGAAAAACTAATGACAAAAGCAGGTAAGGAAACTCTTGTCAAGACAGTAGTTTAGGCGCTTCCTCAATATGCTATGTCGGTATTTAAAATTCCTATCTCAATACGCAAGTCGATTGAGAAGAAAATTGCAGTCTTTTGGTGGAGACAAAATGCAGCCAGAGGATGAATCCACCGGAGGAAATGGGAAACGTTGAAAACTAGAAAAGACTAGGGAGGCTTAGGATTCAAAGATCTTGTAACGTTTAACAAGGCAATGCTCGGGAGATCGGCATGGCGCATGATACAGAAACCGAATGCTTTGTGGAGTCAAATGATGAGAGGCATTTATTTCCTGCAAAAGGATTTCTGGAACGCTAACAAGGGCCACCGTCCTTCCTGGGGATGGCAAAGCTTATTGGCAAGTAGGGAGGTGATTGAAACCGAAATGAGTTGGCTTGTGGGAGACGGAAGGAGTATTAATATTAGAGAGGACAAATGGATACCACTAGGTAGAATTAGGGGTCTGACGAACCATAACAACCCCCAACTTGTTGTGGAGTTGATAAACTAGGAAACCAAAGAGTGGAACATCCTGAAGCTAGCCGAACTTTTCAACGAGGATGTAGTGAAAGAGATTTTATATATCCCTCTTAGCCCCAACCCAACGGCAGACAAGTTGATCTGGACAGGTAACAAGGCAGGTTCATACTCGGTTAAGAGTGGATATAATAGCTTATGCTCCCTAGGAAATTCTTCTAACGCCAACCAGGCGTCACCATCATACCAACCTCCTTGAATACTTTGGACAACAATATGGCAGCTCCACACCTACCCAAAGATACGGTTCTTCCTTTGGAGTGCTTGCAACAATGCATTGTCAACTAAGGAAAACCTATTTAGAAGGAAAATGGTTCTTGATCCGCTTTGCCCGGTTTACCGTCTAGCCCTGGAAACTCCTGAACACCTACTCATCCTATGCGACTGGACAAAACACATATGGTTAGATCCCCGACTAAACTGCGATACTTCCCCAGCAACAGTAACAAGAATCGACAAGTGGGTTTTAGAGAACTTATCCGCCGGAGCTGACTCGTCCTCGAGAGCCATCTTCGACGGTGTCCTATGGTCAATCTGGAAGGGAAGGGAAGGAACGATGTGGTGTTCCGAAACCGAAAGCCGAACTCAAGCCACCTCATTGAGGAAGTGGTTAACTCATATAAGCTCGTTGTGAAATGGAACCCCAGCAAAGGAAATCGAGCTCGGGATAGTAGTTTACTTACAGATCGATGGATCCCACTGCCTGATGGCTTGTGGAAGCTAAATATGGATGCGTGTTGATGTGAAGGGTCGTGGACGGGAGCTATAGCTAGGGTGTACCGAGACTCCCGCGGGCTGTCGATTGAGGGTTTTACGAAGAAAATCCATGCTCCGTCGGCGTTGGCAGCGGATGTTCTGGCTCTGCGAGAAGGACTGTCATCTATGACTAAGGAAAATTCCAATTAAGGACCTCAAGTGAGGCCTTTTTCTCAAAAGAGGACCCCAAGTAAATTTAGTGTCAAATAAGGGCCTGAAGTGCCCAATTAATCTCAAATAAGGATCCGAAGTGCTCAAAAAATCTCAAATAAGTGTCTGGATTGCCGGCCGACCAAAATGCCTGCCGGGCGGCAAGAATGTTACTATTCCGATACCGGAACAGTAAATTTTTAATTTTTTTATTATTTTTTCCTTTATGTTTTTCCTTTTCTGTTCTTTTTCCTTTTCTTTTCCTTTTCTTTTTTTTTTCTTCTCTTCCTCCGCCGGCCATAGCCGGGGCCGGCGGAGGTCGCCGGGCCTCGGGCGAGGCCGCCTCGCCCGGGCCGGGTGAGGTCGGCCTCGCCGATTCCGGGAGGCTCGACCTCGCCCAAAGAACGGCGAGGTCGAGCCCGTCCCGGGCGAGGGCTCGACCTCGCCGGCGTCGGCGAGGTCGGCCTTGCTCGCAAAGGCGAGACCGGCCTCACCCGACGCCGGCGAGGTTGAGCCTCGCCGCCGGCCGGCGAGGTTGAGCCCTCGCGGGCGGCCGGGCTCGACCTCGCCGTTGCCGGGCGAGGTCGAGCCTCGCCGTGCCGGTGAGGTCGAGCCTCGCGGGCGGCGGGCTCGACCTCGCCGTTGCCGGGCGAGGTCGAGCCTCGCCAGTTGCCGGTGAGGTCGAGCCTCGCCAAATCGGGCGAGGGCTCGCCCGCGCCGGCCGGGCGAGGCTCGACCTCGCCGGCCTCGGGCGAGGCAGGCGAGGTCGAGCCTCGCCAGCGGCCGGCGGGGCTGAGCCCTCGCTAGATCTGGCGAGGCTTGACCTCACCGGCAACCGGCGAGGGCGGCCCTCTCCTAACACCGGCGAGGGCGGTCTCGCCTGAGGCCGACGACCTCCGCCGGCCCCGGCTATGGCCGGCGGAGGAAGAGAAGAAAAAAAAAGGAAAAGAAAAAAAACAACAAAGGAAAAAAAAAATTTAAAAGTTACTGTTCCGGTGCCGGAATAGTAACATTCTCGCTGCCCGACAGGCATTTTGGCCGGCCGGCGACCCAGGCCCTTATTTGAGACTTTTTGGGCACTTCGGGTCCTTATTTGACACTA